TCTTGATTGGGAATTAGATCTAGAAACAAATTGTGTTGTGTTTGAATTAGATCTGGAGTAGTTATTTCTACTATTTGGTCTATTGTAGTGATTTTGTGATGAATTTTGTGTGTTTCTTCGTTCTGGCGATCTTCCTCTATAACTTGAGTTATATGGGGATTGATTCCTTGTATAGCTTGTATTGTTCGGGAGTGGTTTTCCGGAACTATTGTTGCTATATACATTTTTGTTTGGTAGATTTTGATCTTTCTTCATATATTGATAAAATGATTTATTTGGTTCTTTGTATTTGTGAGGTTTATTTTGACTATCTTGCTGTTTTTGTCTACATTCGGAAATACTATGTCCGTATCGTCGGCAATAATTACACCATTTTTTGAAAGATGGTTTGCCTTTAAAGTTTGGGTTCTTTTCGTAAATATTGAGTATTTCAGTGATTTTTTCAACGAGGTCTGTGTCTGATTCCTGTATATTATTAATATTAGTGGGAGTCGTTTCAATTCTGTTAACGTATTGTAATTTCAGATTTTCCGTTTCTTCTAGTTTCATCGTGATTTCTGCTTGTTCTAACTTGTCTACTAGTTTTCGAAAATCTAAATCGGGTTCTCGAATTGAGGAAGGATGGGATGCTCTCTTTTTTATTGCTATTTTCCTTAATTGTGGTGTTAAGGTCATCATTAAGATTTCTGTCATCTTTGTGTTTTTATAGTCGTGTGTATTTAGTGAATATGCTTTTCGAACTAGTGTTTCGATTCGTACTGCTAATTGCTTGATGGTTTCGTTTGGTATTCTGCGAATTTCATTACATAAAACTCTTTGTTGTTGTTTGTTTCTTTCAGAGTCAAACATTTTTGAAAATTCTTGTGTAAACCTTTTCCAGTTTGATTTTATTTCTAGAGGTAGTACTGAAAACCATTTTTGGGCTGCGCCATCTAAGGTTGTTTGTATCAACGCTGTGCGTCGATGTATCCAGTTTTGATGTAGTGGCGTATTAATTGGTTCAGGTCCAATGTTTAAAATCAGGTTTGCTGTTACTGCATTTAAATAATCTTCTACAGAGTATTCAGGGTCTGTTCCTGTGAAAACCATTAAAGGTTTGTTTGATGTTATTGATGATCCACCCATAAGGTATGGATTCATTGTCATTTGTAATGATTCTGCTGCATTTGGCATTTGAGAAAAATTTGAAAGTTGGTTTCTTGTTATTTCATGTTGTTGGAGATAATATGGGAGTGGTATTTCATTTTGCATTTGTGATGGTTGATACGAGTGTGCAGTCATTGGATTTTGTTGTTGAATTGGTTGAAAAGATTGTGTATTAATTAGATTTTGTTGTTGAATTGGTTGTTGATGTTGTGCATCTATCGGTTGTGGAGAAAAATTTCTATGATTTGTACGTGTTTTCTGTATTCCTTGTCTACGATATTCTTGAGTATATGGTGCAAATATGTCTGGTTGTAAGAAATCATCATCTGAGGATAAATAATCCATTTGATAAGATGTCTGTTTTTTATTTTTATTTTGTTGAAAAAATGGGTAATTTTCACTGTGATCCTGTGGAGGATTTGTTTGGAAATTTATTGAATTAGGTTGGGCCATTGGGTTATCCCAGTTTCGAGATCTTGTATACTGGTTAAAATTTCTTCGTGGTTGATAATTTGTTTTTGATGGATGTGTATAATTATAATTATGGTCTGCAAAGTTGTTTCTAGTGAATGTTTTGCGTGTTTTTGATGGTATTGTCATGGGTCTGTATGTTTGGTAATCCATATGTGAATATTTAGGGGCAACCGAAGGTTTAACGGTTGATTGTAAGGTTACCTGTGTTTGTGAAGGATTTGTATTTCTTGGTGTTGTTAAGTTTGGACGTATTGGTGAAATACTTTGTTGTGTAGTTGTTGTGTGTACAATTTCTTCATTTATGAAGTGTGATGGTGTTTGGATATCTTGTTGAGTAAGATTCCTAGTTCCATTGAGGTTTTCGTTGTGTATGACTGTAGAGTTTAAACTATTATTTTGTGTATCGGGCAAAAATGTATTATAGTTTAATGGTGTTGCATCAATGGTGAATGGTATTACTTTTACATAATCTCTTATGTAAGATATTGTACTTATTGCTTGACTTGAGATTGATTGTGGGAAGCTTATAAATGCGGGATGAGACCATTCGGGGTCCCAAACATAATCTGATTGTTCTGTGATAGCGGTATCATCGTTCGAATTTTGGGGTCTAAAATTTTTTCTTGCTTGTGCAATTAAATCAATATTGTGTGTGAAATAATCTATTATGAACCATGCCAAAATTTTTGTAGATCGTGTTTTGTATGTTGTGAAACGTCGTCTTTCGTGAAATTTTCTTTAATATTGTTTAAATAACTAGAGAGTAGTGTGATTTCATGTCGTACTCTTAAATGTTTAGATGTTTCTGTCGGTGAGACATTTGTTATTGGGATTTCGTTTTCTAATATCGAAATATAACTATATATTATTGCGAAAACTTCATTAGTGAAAATGGAGTTTGCTCTTTGTGAGTTATGGTATTGAATGCTTTTTATATATTCTGAAAAAACTTTTGAAAATTCTAAATCAAGATCGTCTGTTTGAATTGTATATTTTCTATGATTATGGTTTGGTGAGGTGAATTCTATGGAGTAGATTCCATACTGTTGTGTTATGTTGCATATATCTTTTAGGTAGTGGTCTATGATTTGTCTTTTGATTTTTACATCTGGGAACTCTGTTTTACATGGACTGATTCCGGGTTCAAATAAATTTAATAGTAAATTTTTGCAAAATATATGCTGTCCTCTATCAGTGGTTGCATCTACTATAAAAGGGAAGATTTCATCATCATCTGGGGTTTCGTCACCTGGGGTGTGCGTTGAGCTCATTTTTTCGTTCGATGACTGTTAATATGTAATTATTAATGTGTCGAATTGGTTGATTCCAATTGTATAAATGTACTGGTTTGTGTTTATACTGCTTTTTTATTCTTCTTTTTCCTCTTTTTGATGAATTTGAAGTTGTTTCTGAGTCAGAGAAATATAATTGATCGTGAAGTGGGCAATTTTTATCTATTGATTCTTTTAGTTTGTAAAGTTCGTCTAAACTGTTGGTTTCTGATTCTGAAAATGCGTTTCGGTTTTTTGAAAATCTTTTTCGTGTTATTTGTCTTTGTTTCGTTATTATTTTTCTTTTTAGTGTTTGTCGTTTTGTTCGAATGTATCCAACTGTTTGTGTATGAGGTGTGATTACAAGGTCGTATTTTTTATTATCTATTTCACAATTGTGTAAAACAATTGTTTGTTTATTTCCTAGGTTTTTAAATGACATAAGGTTTAGGATGACGGATGCAAAAAGGTGTTAAGTGAATTCTACTTGCTTAAACTGTTAGTCCTTACGATTTTTTGGTTAGCTTAACCTGGGTCTATTTGTTCAGGGTTGGAGAGAAAAGTATATCTATTCCGGAGAATGATTTTTACTTTCTCGTGACTAGTATAAGCTAAGGTGTTAACCTACTTAATCTTACTTAGGGGTAGTGATTGTGTTCAAGGGTTGGAGAATAGTAAATCGATCCACAAGGTTCAGGTATAATTAGAACGCGAGTAGTTCGTTAGATACTATTTGAAACTTACTAAGTCTAAGATTTATCCTGGGTCTGGTAAGAGGGGGGGTCAAGTGAAGGATGAATAACCGAGGTTCTTCACTGTTTATCCTAATTTGAATGATTAGTTTTGTTTAAAAATTTCTATTAGTCTTAGGTCTTTAGAAAGGGTTGGGTAGTGAATCGACGTTTGAGGTCGTTAGACACTAATTAAGTGGGTGGGGGAGAACAGAGTTGTTCTGTTTGATCCAAGGATAAGCCTTGATGATCAAATTTGAAATTTAATTAAGTAGAAAATGATTTAAGATCCAAGGATAAGCCTTGATGATCTGATTTTAAAATTAAGTGAATTTAAGTTTTAATAAAATTTTAAATTTGTGTAAAGGAAAGATTTAGTGTTTTATGATATTAGTGGGTTTATGATTGCTGTTATGTTTTAGGTGATGAAGCTGGAACAACAGGATGATTTATGATTACTAACCATTTATTGTCATGCTACTAATTTTTATTTTTATTTTTCAATAAATATTTTTCAAACATGTTTTGTATATTACTGCAGAGTTTTAGGAAAACGATCTGAGATCTTTTTATCAATCGTTATTGTATATTATTAATTTTGTTTAGCGCCTGAAATGATTTTGAAGATTAACTTCAAGGTTTTATGTTTGCAAATGAAAATCTAAATTCATTGCCAGTAGTATTCTAAATATAAAAGTTTGTTCTGGTTTTTGCCTAACTATCATATAGCTATATGGCAAGTTTCTACTTTGTCGTATGTCGTCTCTGGTTCGAGGTCTTCTTCCAATTCCGGGTAGTTCTGTTATGGTTCGGAATATTGGCTTTGATCTATTGAGTCGTAGAGACATTTCGATTAAATTATTGTCGTATAACATTTTGTAAATGTTTTTGTCTAATTTCTAATCTATTTTGGTTAATTCTAAGCTATTAAGGTCTTGTTCGAGACTTATGGTCGCACCAGATGAGTTATGACTGGGGTGTATAACTCATAGAGTAATTTCGGATAGGGTACACCGTCTGCTCGTCACGCTATCTTATTTTCGGCCGGATAGATTCGTGCAACTTCTTAGTCTAATACCGATCCTAATCTTACTCTTATACTATCTAGTCTCAGGTTGTTTAACTAGTCTCTGCTAGGCTCAATAGATCTAGGGTATACTGGTTTATTGCGGCTGCTGAAGTACTCGGGAGAGTCCAACTAATTTCTAAGTTAAATTCAAATCTCTCTGGTGCTGAAATTACAAGTAACTTCAGCACTTACAAATAAGTGGGTTGTTAGTTAGATGGATCATGATTGGTTAATACTAAATACTTTACATTGGTAAAATATCTAATTTATCCAATCATAAAATATAGTTTAGATCAGGTTCCATGTAGCACGTGACGCCTATATTTGTATATGTTGTGATTTGTTGGTTGATATGTGCTTTATCTGTGTTTCGTTTCAAAATGGAGGCCGGCATTGTTGAGTTGGTTTGATTGCGAGCAGATTGCGCGGCCAATGATATCTTTACTATTTGAGGTTGTATTGATTGCCAGTGGACTCATTCGATCCTCTGCTTTTTATCCTTGAAACTCAAAATACTCTCGCAGATGACTCGTCGTTCACTTCTTACACGTATTGCATTCTCCCCCCTCTCTCGCCACAGCAGCAGTGTCAAAAGAAGGGACGTCTCGTCCGCCGCTGTGACCGTCAACGCTGCCAAATCTGCATCTGCGGGGTTTGCCAAGGAGAATGCGGTTGTTATCGATTCGGTGGAGGTGTCTAGTTCCAGTGTAGTTGTGGATAGGCCAACAGCTGCTGATCACCACCCGGACAGTTTCGTGGACAGACACATTGGACCACGCAGTGAGGACATCGAAAAGATGCTGCAAACACTCGATGTCAAAGTATGTCTTATGATTAAACATGTGAACTATTTGGAGTGAGAGAAAACTATCATGCCGATATTCGATTCTTTTTCTACTCAAGTTTAAATAGCCTGCTCAGTCATTGAACAGTTTTCCATTAAGCTGATCTGAAAAGCTGGTATGAACTTTTTGTGTGCACAGTCCTGATTGGGTTTAGAGTTTGGACGAAGTTATGGACTTGACTATTCCCAGATCCATTCGGAGGGAGTTCCAGATGCAGATGCCGGAGCCACTCAGTAAGTCCAAAATGCATCACCAGATACACTCGTTTAGAGTGTAGTACTTGTCATATCAATTGATAATGACGTTTGTGATGGTTGGTTAGGCGAGCAGGAGTTGGCCGTGCGTGCACGTGTATTGTCCCTGGAGAACGAGGCCAAAGACTTCAGCAGCTACATCGGCATGGGCTACTACAATACCATCACGCCCACAGTCATCCAGCGGAACCTGATGGAGAACCCTGGATGGTACACGCAGTACACGCCCTACCAGCCGGAGATCAGCCAGGGCAGACTGGAGAGTCTGCTCAACTGGCAGACAATGGTGCAGGACCTCACCGCCCTCCCAGTGGCCAATGCCAGTCTGCTGGACGAGGCCACAGCAGCCGCAGAGGCACTGGGAATGGCACTCAAGTAAGCATCAGTTGATCTTATTGCAAACCGCGTGACTCCTCCTTAGACTATTATACTGCAACTGTTTTTGAACCACTGAGATTTGTATGAGTAGTGTGCTCTTCTTTCAGGGCCCATCCGGACAAGAAGAGGGTGCTGCTGGACCACAAGATGCACCCCCAGACTATCGCAGTTGTCAAAACCAGAGCTAGGTTATAACAATACTTGCTGGAATTGCAACTCTAATCATAAGCTTACAGTTTGCATGCGTTATTAAAGCAAATCGGCACCGCGAAACAACCTGGTGATCAAATTTGACTAGTCAATTGTTTGATGGCTTGTTCGGATGATATAAACACAGCTTTTCCCAATGGAAATAGCATGTATCATTCCAATACTTTTGCATTATTATTTAAACAGCGTGCTCTCTACATCAGGTTTATTTTTGACTATTTAAATAGCATGAGCTATTTCCGCTTAGATTAAACGCATTCAATGCTGGCTCATTTTTAGCTTCATTCAGGACTCGTGTCTCAGTATCATAAGGAATATTTCAATGCATTTGTGCCAGTGTGCAATGAATTGTGGCAGAAAATAGTCGTTTTATGATTTTTAGGTATGATTTTTAAATCATTATAATATAGTAGGTATGATTTTTAAATTATTATGATGTGGTAAAATTTTAGACAAGCACCGGAGTGTTTTTCGCCAAAGTCCTTTCTGTACTACCTGATAAAAAGTTGAAGTAAAATATCTGAAATCAAGAATCCATACCAAGTGGTTTAAGCAAGTGACTCCTTTTGTTCCTTTTCGCCGTTTCTGCTTATATAGCTTCGCCTCTGCCAGTTGGTCTTGTATTTACACAAGCAAACGCTTCTGTTAGACTACGAATTTTTTTTCCCGTATAACTCGCATGAATCAGTTCTCAACTTAAATGACCAGTTCAAGTTAATGTATTCGGCTATTGTTCTGATTACCCTTGCGATAAGCAATTGTATTGCAATCGGGTACTTGACCTTTTCCCGTAAAGTGCTTTGGTCTTAGAATGGTTGAAATGGTAACCATTTCAATAACGCAACGATTAATGTAGTGTTCAGTAGTTGCATATTAGGTATTTTCTTTGAATGCCTGTTTAGAGTTTTTTATGCGATTTTTTTCTGTGCCGAAAATTTTCGGTATAATTTCGGCGCTGGAAGAGGTCGGCTTATTTTCCGAATGTTTTTTTTTTTCGAATAACTTTATTTTCTATTATATGGGAGTGATTGAACACTTGAAATGAAATTGTGGAAAACTTTATATCCACCTCCTAAACTCTAAGAATAAAGTGAAAAATTTTAAATGAAAAGGTTTTCTTTTGTTTTTTAACAAGTATAAAAAATGTTAAAATTTTTTGTTCTTGATTGTTTGATCGGCTGTATTGATAGTATCATTTTTGGCTCATATAAACTATCTCGTTACTTTTTGCACATTTTTTTGAGTTTTTCAATATTTGATGTTTACCATTGCGATAAGCAAGGGTATTGCAACCGGGTACTAGATTTTTTTCTCGTAAATAACTTTGGGCACAGGGATCTTCACTTCTAGAGGATCTTCATTTCTAGAGGAAAATACCTAAGTAGTGTCTTCCTCTAGAAGATACTTAAGTAGAAACGAGTTCAAACTCGTTGCTGGTTGTAATTGTCTTATCAAAAAAAATATATTTTTTTTCGGGGTCGTGGTTTTCGTCCAGTTTCTGTCGGATTTTTTTCCGTTTTTTAAACGCCATTTTTTATCTGGAAGGCTTTAAATTGGTTTACTTTTTGAAGCAGGGGTTTTGTTTAAACAGTGTTTACTATAAGAGCTCCCCATTCTGGTGGAACTTGGGAAGACGCCCTAAAGAGCATGAAGAAACACGTTAGAAAAGTCATGGGAATTCAGCATTTTGTGTGCAATTGCCATTCAAGTCAGAAAGTGAATTGGGTGACAGTCTCACCCTAGCACAACACAGATTCAGTTATCTGCAACCTAAACTGGACTAGAATCCTGCGCTCAAGTGACGCTATGTAAAATTCATTGACGAATTTATGACTATAGGGCTTATAGAAGAGGTCCCAAAAAACGAACAAGATAATCATCATTATTATGTACCGCATCATTGCGTCTCTAAAAAAGATTCGACAACCATCCACGAAACTTCGTGTTGTATTTGATTTCGTGTTTTATTTTACTTCCAATGTACAATCGTTAAATGATAACTTGATGGTACGATCAACTGTTCTTGATGACATCCTTACTCAATTATCGTGAGATTTAGTTTTTTTTCTAATCGCATTGTCTGCTAACATTGCGAAACTGTATCGTCAAGTTGCCCTGGAAAGAAAATCAAAGGTTTTTCATCGAGTTTTCTGGCGACCCGACAACTATGGTGAAATCAAACACCTGAGAGTGACGCGTGTCACATGTGGAGTATCCTCATCAGCGTTCCATGCAACAAGATGTCTCAAGGAAATAGCTGATATTTCGCAGAACAATTCTGTAAAGCAACGTCATGAACTCCTTCTATGTCGATGACTTTCTCGGAGGAACAAACAACAAAGAAGAAGCAGAACAAATGATAAGAGTTATGCAATAAACTTAACGAGCATGGATTTTGTTTGCGAAAGTGAACCTCTAGTGATCGAAAATTAATCGAAAAGCTGTCGGAAGAATAACGAGAAAAATCAGATGTACTAGAACTTTTATCGGAACGAATACAAAATCATGGCATTAGGAATCACTTGGAAACCGAATAAGGATATATTATGTTTTTCCACCTCATTGCCTGAAGTGCAACTGCTAACAAAGAGAACTCTCTTGTCAACTACTTCAAAGCTATTTGACCCGCTGGGATGGTTGGCGCCTTCCATCATCAACTTCAAATGCCTCATGCTTCAGCTCTGGCATTTGATCGGGACGTAGAAGCTTCTCAAGAAATTAAGAAAATTTTGATTGAACTAATTCGGACTTTACCAGAACTGCTAAAATTGAAGCTTCCAAGACCATCAAGTGCAAATGAGATGAACGAATTTCAACTGCATGTCTTCTGTGATGCCTCAGAAAAGGCATATACAGCAGCAATATATGCAAAAATAACTGATGATGAGAATCAACGCTATTCATATCTGCTGTCATCGAAAACAAAGATTACCCCGATTAAAGCAATCGCAATTCCCAAATAAGAGCTTTGTGGTGCAAGTTTAGCAGCTAAACTTCTTAAATCAGCTCATCAAATATTGGAAAAAAAAAACAAAACTCAATATAACTTTCCAGGCATGGGCCGATTCAACTTTAGTTTTGTAATGGCTTTCACAACTACCCAGAATGTGAAATGCATTTGTAGCAAATCGTGTTTCACCAATGCAAGAAGTCTTGCTATAAACTCGTGGAAACATGTTCCTAACAAATCAAATCCTGCAGAATTAGCCTTTTGAACAAATAGAGGCGGAATGTTGAGACTGAAAAAGATTAACTAATGCTATGTTGAACTGATTTATTCAATGAACTGAATGACTTTATTAAAAACCGCAATGAAGTAAAATCAACTGACTTCTATCTTCAATGCACGAACGATTCACAGCTTTTGTCATCTTTGTAAGGTTTCAGTCACTTACTAAGAAAGTTAGCTCTCCCAGATTTGTACCATTCACAAGTTACTCTTTTTTGAAGCCATGCTAGAGTGAAGCATACGTGGAACATGAGTGGGTCTTGTGTGTTTAGTGGGTTTGGGGTGACCGTGGAGTTGGGGGATGTGATGGGGAAGGGGGAGGAGGAGGAGGAGATAGAGAGGGGGTTGTTTTGTGCAGTCATGTTCCAGTACCCTGACACAGAGGGCGCCATCAGAGACTACTCTAAACTCACCCACAAGTGCACACAGGCAAAGGTCACTCCAATTAAATCGTTAAATCGACAACTACTCAGTAGACTAAGTACACTTCACTTCTTTTGTAATTATCAGCACTTGAGCAACAGTCGAAAAATCGCCCCACCCCTCTTCCTTTTGTTATCGCTTTTTGGTTAACATTTTAGAACTTTTGTCTTCTGCTGTGTTTTGCAAAATGTCGGCGGTCTTAAGTTTTGCTAAATCTCATTGATAGCTAGCTACTGCATGTACACGTTTGACCTTCGAATTTTTACCCAAGTACATTGAACTTCACGTGAACAAATACTGTGAACTCTGAGCCCTTGTTGTGATAAATTCGTCGTTTACAAAATGAGTTTGATCGAAAACAAAAGGTAGAATTTGGACTTTGAGTTAAGAGTTGAACTCCAACTAACTTCTTCCAGACTGCGATTGAATGTGGTCAAAATCTGAATACTTCTGCATGTTTACAGTGCAAACTAATGACTGGTATCTGCAGGTCACAGTGAATAAAACACGGCCTCTCTTCGCCGATTTGGTAACTCGGCTACTGTTCTTCAAAAGAGTCGCAGGAGATGTCATGATTATATCCTTGTTCATTCCCTCGTACATAGTAGATGGAATTATTTTTTCTTTGTTTTTGCTTCAGACGCTATCCGTGTGTGCCACTGATCTGCTGGCCCTGAGCCAATTGCGTGCGCCGGGCGAGTTCGGGTGTGATGTGGCCCTGGGGTCTGCCCAGAGATTCGGAGTCCCGCTGGGCTATGGGGGTCCACATGCAGCCTTCTTCGCCTGTTCGGAGGAACACCTCAGGAGACTGCCTGGAAGACTAGTGGGAGTGTCCATGTTCGTCAATGTCATCTCATCCCATTATTTCAATTGAATATCAAATCACGAATTTATTGCCCTGAATTACATAGGAATTGTGTTTTTTTTTACAGAATAGTTTTGTTATAAAAACCAATTTAATAATTTGAAGCAAGTGACTCATGGTACTTGGGATCTTTGGTTTGGCATTCTTGTCACCTGTTTCTAAGCATATGTATGTTGGAGTGTATGTGTGTGTTGTTTGTTTAGTGACTCGAGTGGCAATCGGGCTCTGAGGCTGACTCTGACCACCAGGGAACAACACATTAGGAGGGACAAGGCCACCAGCAACATATGCACTGCACAGGTCATCCTTTTTCTCTCTTAAAATGAGTTGCGATGCATGTTTAAACGATAAATTAAAAAAACCACTCAATCATCATTTTCAGAAGTTTGGTTGTTATTTTTAATCCGTTTTCTTGTGTGCTGCAGGCGCTGCTGGCGAATATTGCGTCCATGTATGCCATCTACCACGGTCCAAAGGGGATCCGAGATATCGCCCAGATGGTGCACCACTACACACGTGCACTGTCTGTTGGGGTGGGGGCCAGTGGACACTTCAGAGTGGTCAATGAGACATTCTTCGACACACTGACCATCGATTTGGGGCAGAGGAAGGGGGAGATTATGGAGAGGGCTCAGCAGAGGAAACACAACTTCAGAAACATGGATAACAACAAGGTTAGTTCATCAATCTCTATTAACCCATTCCGCGTATAGAATCTCTACATTCTGTAGTCAATCATACTGCTGGTCTAAAGTGGATTCTCTAAATACAAAAGTGTGAGCAAGTGTGCGTTTTTTTCTGGGTACGTTCTCGGAGAAGCGAAAAAGACCGTTTATTTCTATGGCTTAGATTGGAGTGTCTATGGATGAGACGCTGACAATGGACAAGCTGGCTGCTGTGCTGGACATATTCCACAGTCCCCTCTCGGCAGAAGAGTGTTGGAAGGAGGCGACAGTGGCCACATCCTCCCCGTCTCTCCATTGGGCAATGGGTGGGTTTGAGAGGGAGAGTGAGATTCTGACGCACAAGGTGTTCAACTCCTACCACTCGGAACATCTCCTCACCAGATACTTGAAGAAGCTGGAGAACAAAGTAAACTTATTAGACACACTCTTCCCACATTATACACGAGAGAGCAGCGAGCAGATAGCTTCTATTTTTCAGACTCTTCCTGTCATAAAGCTCACCAATTTAACTTGAGGTTGTTATGATTTGCGGTATTGCACTAGTGTATGTCCACGACACAAGTGTTTATGTTCTGTTCTGTTCACTTCTTTCGTGTAGGACTTCTCCCTCGTGCACTCGATGGCGCCGCTGGGCAGCTGCACGATGAAGTTGACGGCCACCTCGGAGATCATGCCCATCTCCCTCAGGGGCTTCAACTCCATCCACCCCTTCGTGCCCAACCCCCAGCAGCAGACCAGAGGCTACCTCTCCCTCATGGGGGAATTGGAACAGGACCTGAAGGAGATGACTGGCTACTCCGCCATCAGCTTCCAGCCCAACAGTGGCGCCCAGGGAGAGTATGCTGGACTGAGGGCCATAGATGCATACCACCAGTCTAGAGGAAACAGCCAGCGAAAGGTACGATGGGGCATCGCACCTTTCTTGATTTTACCTTTCACTAGGAATTATGTAATGTTTGATTAAGCTGTATAAATATGGTGATTGTTTGGCAGGTGTGTGTAATTCCGAAGAGTGCCCACGGAACTAACCCGGCCTCTGCCCAGATGGCTGGACTGCGTGTGGTGCCGCTGGATGTGGACAAGGAGGGGGGCAATGTGTCCATCGAGCAGATGACCAAGTTGGCAGACAAACACAAACACACTCTGTCTGCGGTTATGCTCACTTACCCCTCCACATTCGGAGTGTTCGAGGAGGACATCAAGTGAGAGAGAAAATTAGTCTGCGTAACTTCGTAGCTTGATTTGATTCAGAAACAGCCTGGTGCCTTTAAACTACCTATTTAGGATAATGTAGACTGTTTTTCAAAGTTTTCTGCTGCTCTTAATGTTGCACTTAATGTAAATCTGTGTTTAGCTACCGATAATTGGTAAGTGAAACATTATCTCGCTTAGCTTCTGGTCTCTCCTTACCCTGCTTAAGTCTGTTCCTTTTTCTGTTGTACTTATTTAACCAAATGAATTATATTATTTTTCAATAATGCACATGCTGAACTTTTCAAATGAGCATTTATAAATGAAAAGTGGGTTACTGAAAAGCTCGCGGCTATTTAATCTTTTTGCAAAACAAGAAGTAATTAACAATTTTTTTCACATCACTACTCATTTTTTTCATTGTTCCGACCCCTTCGCGAAGTGAAGAGAAGGAACTATGAATTAGCCTGTGATTTTGCACCGAATTTTCACTTTTTCAAAGAATGCGCGTAGGTTCAGACAGTTTTCAATAAATGATTCCTCGATTGTTATAAACTCACATCGGACAAATATTTTTAAACAAACTTTAAAAAAAAAAAATTGTTTACTTTCTCAAGGGTTCTATGTAACACGAAATCTTAATGAACAGGAACTACTTGAAAAAGAGAAACAGAAAAGTTATTGACTGTTTTCAGTGAAATCATTTGTCTGATTTGGGTTTTACAAGAGTTTTCAGAGTGAAATCATTTGTCTGATTTGGGTTTTCCAAGAGTTTTCGTCGAAAAAAAACACTTTTGCATAAATTTACACTGATTTTGTCTGCTCTAAAGTGTTTTGATGTGGTCACATGTTTTTGTACCGGCCATTGAAAATGGGGAGGAGTTTTGTATTCAGGTGTGTTTTAGTTTTTTTGTCTTCTTTCCACGCAAAATCAGCTACGACAAATAATCATCGGACAGGGTTCAGTGATATCTCATATCAAAGCCCTTTCAGTCGTGTTTTAAAAAAAGTTTTCAAAGTGTCGAGAAAAACCGGTGTGAAATTTTGATTTTTGGTCTTGTTTCGAGCTAATAAGGTGACCGTATATGCTAACAATAGTATATTACACTAGCCTAAGTTGTGTTACAGTACGATGTTTTTTTCGCAACATAAGTCGCAAATATTGTTGCGATGCAATTGTTGCGGCAAAATGTGTTCATTTTGAAAGTGTTCATTTTGATCCAGCTATTAAGTACAGCCAATGCTGAGAATAATAACACACACTATTATATGACAAATAGCACTTTAGCTTCAAGGTATCATGGATCTGTAGCGCAGAGGTAGGAAAGGAGACCAGCAACGAAATAAGAGGTTTCGAACCTGGGCAGGGTCAGATTTTTGTAATGAGCTTTTTCGCATACTAATTAAAATGCGTGCGCTCTATCAATTGAGGCATGTTAGTTCGTAAATTTCTGTTTTTTTTCCAAATTGACTGGTACTGCTAATGCGTCATAATTGACTTGCCTCACTTAGCAATTATGCAAACTCATAATTGGCGTGGTTCACTTCAGAAATTTTGTGAAAGTTTACTTTTACTCAAGTAAAGGTAGTTTTTAGCGCAATTTTGGGAATAGAAAACTTGAAAACTCAAAAAGTTTTTGCAAAAAAAATGAAACAATTGTTGAAATTTCAGAAATTAAATTTTTTTTTTAGTCATTTTTCTTTAAAATCACAACATGCAGAAAAAAAACGACACCATTTAACCGACTATCCTTGTATTGTATCGCAAGTGGTGTGAAGTTCTGCTTCGCTCCAGAGTGAATTTATTACTTCAATATTTTTGCCACAGATGTACGCATCATTAATTTTTTTTCAAGGCCTAGTACATTCTAAAGTGCTGATTTAAATTAAATCATCTGGACAACTTGAACAAAGCTTGAAACTTTAAAACGCGTTTTTCTCAAATTGGGTTGAGGCTAGCGAAAAATGATGAGAACCAAAGTTGATTCGAATTTCACCAGATTTTTAATAGTAATGAACGTACTGAGTACTCATATATTAGTCCTGCTGATTTCTTTGTTTTTTTTCCAGGAAAAGTCTTAAAATTTGTTGTTGCTCACTTTGATTTTTCGCGGTTTGACTTCAAATTGTAAGAATTTTCGCGGTTTGACAAAATTGTAAGGTTCACGAAAAACGTGCTCGACTTCAAATTTCGAAAATGGAAATTAGTTATCAGATTTCCTAGCGAACTAAAAGTTTTACATATTGATTCAGTTTTCTCAAATTGGGTTTATTTTAACATAAAAATGTCCATCATAGATTATTCTACAAGTTAAAAGAGCTTTATGGCTATCTGATTTCTTCTTCAGTTTGGTTCTTTTCTGTCTTCTTGCGTTCATTACTCATTTCCAACTATCAGTTTGCTATGTTTTATAGTGTTATTTGTCTTTCGAAATCCGAGTACAAATTTTTAACCCCTATATGAGTCATTTTGGGTTCTTTTGGTAAATCAAAACTTAAGCTAAATCTAATGAGTCAATTGATGAGCAAAATTTATGAAAATGAGCCCTTATAAAGCCCAATAAATTTTTATGAGGATACATTCTTCAAATTTTTTAAGAAATGATTTTACTTTTGTTCGATAGCCAAACATTGCAATTTACTACAGAAAATTCCAATTCTTTGCTTGAAAACAAATTTTAATTGTTTTGCGCATTGTTTTTTAGTTTTGTCTTGATATTATAAATAAGCACTGTATACTGTCGGTCGAATTTTTGTTTGCAAGTCAAAGGATTGTTTTTTGGAGAAAAAATTGATTTCAGTTGTTTTTTTTTTTACTTTTTATTGGTTTATATAAATGTTATGCTTCTCTCTTAAAGCAAACAAAATTTTGAAAAAAAAATTAATAATTTTAGCTCTTTTATCGTCACCCACCACGCTCCACTTTTGTACCTAAACATCAATTTTGTACTTTGTAACCCTTGATTTAAACAGTTGCGTGAACTCTATCTTTTTTTTCGTTAAAAATCATGAAAAATTGTCTCTGATTTAAATACTTCTTTCTATAATTAACAGATCTGTTGTTTTGTCACTTTGCAATTTGCGCACTGATTCAGTTTTTGATTCAGTTTTTGGTTCACTTTTTGATTCAGTTATTCTTTCCACGCCAAATCAGCTACGACAAATAATCATCGGACAGGGTTCAGTGATATATCATATCAAAGCCCTTTCAGTCGTGCTTTAAAAAAGTTTTCAAAGTGTCGAGAAAAACCGGTGTGAAATTTTGATTTTTGGTTTTATTTCGAGCTAATAAGGTGACCGTATATGCTAACAATAGTTTTTTACACTAGCCTAAGTTGTGTTACAGTACGAAGTTTTTTTTGCAACATAAGTCGCAAATATTGTTGCGATGCAATTGTTGCGGCAAAATGTGTTCATTTTGAAAGAATTCATTTTGATCCAGCTATTAAGTACAGCCAATGCTGACAATAATAACACACACTATTATATTACAAATAGCACTTTAGCTTCAAGGTATCATGGACCTGTAGCGCAGAGGTAGGAAAGGAGACCAGCAACGAAATAAGAGGTTTCGAACCTGGGCAGGGTCAGATTTTTGTAATGAGCTTTTTCGCATACTAGTTAAAATGCGTGCGCTCTATCAATTGAGGCATGTTAGTTCGTAAATTTCTTTTTTTTCCAAATTGACTGGTACTGCTAATGCGTCATAACTGACTTGCGTCACTTAGCAATTATGCAGACTCATAATTGGCGTGGTTCACTTCAGAAATTTTGTGAAAGTTTACTTTTACTCAAGTAAAGGTAGTTTTTAGCGCAATTTTGGGAATAGAAAACTTGAAAACTCAAAAAGTTTTTGCAAAAAAAATGAAACAATTGTTGAAATTTTAGAAATTAATTTTTTTTAGTCATTTTTCTTTAAAATCACAACATGCAGAAAAAAACGACACCATTTCACCGTCTATCCTTGTATTGTATCGCAAGTGGTGTGAAGATCTGCTTCGCTCCAGAGTGAATTTATTACTTCAATATTTTTGCCACAGATGTACGCATCATTAATTTTTTTTCAAGGCCTAGTACATTCTAAAGTGCTGATTTAAATTAAATCATCTGGACAACTTGAACAAAGCTTGAAACTTTAAAACGCGTTTTTCTCAAATTGGGTTGAGGCTAGCGAAAAATGATGAGAACCAAAGTTGATTCGAATTTCACCAGATTTTTAATAGTAATGAACGTACTGAGTACTCATATATTAGTCCTGCTGATTTCTTTGTTTTTTTTTCCAGGAAAAGTCTTAAAATTTGTTGTTGCTCACTTTGATTTTTCGCGGTTTGACTTCAAATTGTAAGAATTTTCGCGGTTTGACAAAATTGTAAGGTTCACGAAAAACGTGCTCGACTTCAAATTTCGAAAATGGAAATTAGTTATCAGATTTCCTAGCGAACTAAAAGTTTTACATATTGATTCAGTTTTCTCAAATTGGGTTTATTTTAACATAAAAATGTCCATCATAGATTATTCTACAAGTTAAAAGAGCTTTATGGCTATCTGATTTCTTCTTCAGTTTGGTTCTTTTCTGTCTTCTTGCGTTCATTACTCATTTCCAACTGTCAGTTTGCTATGTTTTATAGTGTTATTTGTCTTTCGAAATCCGAGTACAAATTTTTAACCCCTATATGAGTCATTTTGGGTTCTTTTGGTAAATCAAAACTTAAGCTAAATCTAATGAGTCAATTGATGAGCAAAATTTATGAAAATGAGCCCTTATAAAGCCCAATAAATTTTTATGAGGATACATTCTTCAAATTTTTTAAGAAATGATTTTACTTTTGTTCGATAGCCAAACATTGCAATTTACTACAGAAAATTCCAATTCTTTGCTTGAAAACAAATTTTAATTGTTTTGCGCATTGTTTTTTAGTTTTGTCTTGATATTATAAATAAGCACTGTACTGTCGGTCGAATTTTTGTTTGCAAGTCAAAGGATTGTTTTTTGGAGAAAAAATTGATTTCAGTTGTTTTTTTTTACTTTTTATTGGTTTATATAAATGTTATGCTTCTCTCTTAAAGCAAACAAAATTTTGAAAAAAAAATTAAAAATTTTAGCTCTTTTATCGTCACCCACCACGCTCCACTTTTGTACCTAAACATCAATTTTGTACTTTGTAACCCTTGATTTAAACAGTTGCGTGAACTCTATCTTTTTTTTCGTTAAAAATCATGAAAAATTGTCTCTGATTTAAATACTTCTTTCTATAATTAACAGATCTGTTGTTTTGTCACTTTGCAATTTGCGCACTGATTCAGTTTTTGATTCAGTTTTTGGTTCACTTTTTGATTCAGTTATTCTTTCCACGCAAAATCAGCTACGACAAATAATCATCGGACAGGGTTCAGTGATATATCATATCAAAGCCCTTTCAGTCGTGGTTTAAAAAAGTTTTCAAAGTGTCGAGAAAAACCGGTGTGAAATTTTGATTTTTGGTTTAATTTCGAGCTAATAAGGTGACCGTATATGCTAACAATAGTTTTTTACACTAGCCTAAGTTGTGTTACAGTACGAAGTTTTTTTTGCAACATAAGTCGCAAATATTGTTGCGATGCAATTGTTGCGGCAAAATGTGTTCATTTTGAAAGAATTCATTTTGATCCAGCTATTAAGTACAGCCAATGCTGAGAATAATAACACACACTATTATATTACAACTAGCACTTTAGCTTCAAGGTATCATGGACCTGTAGCGCAGAGGTAGGAAAGGAGACCAGCAACGAAATAAGAGGTTTCGAACCTGGGCAGGGTCAGATTTTTGTAATGAGCTTTTTCGCATACTAGTTAAAATGCGTGCGCTCTATCAATTGAGGCATGTTAGTTCGTAAATTTCTTTTTTTTCCAAATTGACTGGTACTGCTAATGCGTCATAACTGACTTGCGTCACTTAGCAATTATGCAGACTCATAATTGGCGTGGTTCACTTCAGAAATTTTGTGAAAGTTTACTTTTACTCAAGTAAAGGTAGTTTTTAGCGCAATTTTGGGAATAGAAAACTTGAAAACTCAAAAAGTTTTTGCGAAAAAAATGAAACAATTGTTGAAATTTTAGAAATTAATTTTTTTTAGTCATTTTTCTTTAAAATCACAACATGCAGAAAAAAAACGACACCATTTCACCGTCTATCCTTGTATTGTATCGCAAGTGGTGTGAAGATCTGCTTCGCTCCAGAGTGAATTTATTACTTCAATATTTTTGCCACACATGTACGCATCATTAATTTTTTTTCAAGGCCTAGTACATTCTAAAGTGCTGATTTAAATTAAATCATCTGGACAACTTGAACAAAGCTTGAAACTTTAAAACGCGTTTTTCTCAAATTGGGTTGAGGCTAGCGAAAAATGATGAGAACCAAAGTTGATTCGAATTTCACCAGATTTTTAATAAAAATGAACGTACTGAGTACTCTTATATTAGTCCTGCTGATTTTTTTGTTTTTTTTTTCAGGAAAAGTCTTAAAATTTGTTGTTGCTCACTTTTGATTTTTCGCGGTTTGACTTCAACTTGTAAGGATTTTCGCGGTTTGACAAAATTGTAAGGTTCACGAAAAACGTGCTCGACTTCAAATTTCGAAAATGGAAATTAGTTATCAGATTTCCTAGCGAACTAAAAGTTTTACATATTGATTCAGTTTTCTCAAATTGGGTTTATTTTAACATAAAAATAACCATCATAGATTATTCTACAAATTAAAAGAGCTTTATGGCTATCTCATTTCTTCTTCAGTTCGTTTTTTTTTCAGTCTCCTTGCGTTCATTACTCATTTCCAACTGTCAGTTTGCTATGTTTTATAGCGTTTTTTGTCTTTCGAAATCCGAGTACAAATTTTTAACCCCTATATGAGTCATTTTGGGTTCTTTTGTTCAATCAAAACTTAAGCTAAATCTAATGAGTCAATTGATGAGCAAAATGTATGAAAATGAGCCCTTATAAAGCCCAATAAATTTTTATGAGGATACATTCTTCAAATTTTTTAAGAAATGATTTTACTTTTGTTCGATAGCCAAACATTGCCATTTACTACAGAAAATTCCAATTCTTTGCTTGAAAACAAATTTTAATTGTTTTGCACAATTTTTTTTAGTTTTGTCTTGATATTATAAATAAGCACTGTACTGTCGGTCGAATTTTTGTTTGCAAGTCAAAGGATTGTTTTTTGGAGAAAAAATTGATTTCAGTTGCTTTTTTTACTTTTTATTGGTTTATATAAATGTTATGCTTCTCTCTTAAAGCAAACAAAATTTTGAAAAAAATGAATAATTTTAGCTCTTTTATCGTCACCCACCACGCTCCACTTTTGTACCTAAACATCAATTTTGTACTTTGTAACCCTTGATTTAAACAGTTGCGTGAACTCTATCTTTTTTTTTCGTAAAAAATCATGAAAAATTGTCTCTGATTTAAATAATTCTTTCTATAATTAACAGATCTGTTGTTTTGTCACTTTACAATTTGAGCTCTGATTCAGTTTTTGATTTTTTTGTTTCATTGAGGGGCAAAAAATGATTATTACTCGTGCCTAGCGTAGGTAGTGTGATAGTACGATCTAATTTTTTTTCTACCTAATTCGCAAATAAAAGTGCTACTTTTGGTGGCGCTTTTGAAACGGTAGGCTGCATTAGCATCATAATCCTAAAAGCTTTGAAATTTGATTAGTAATAAGCTTACACAAAATCCTGTCAAAAAATCTCATTTCAAAAATTTTCAAACTCGATTTACTGAGCGAGGTTTTTGCAATGCATAATTTATACGCAATTTGGTTTAATATATTCTATTTAATCATATGCAAAGTTAGTTTAGTTTGGTATGCTTTAGTTTATTTCATTCCGAATTATTACATGCAAAATTTGAGTTTTGTGCATTTTAAAGCTTCTGACTTTTTGTAGCTTTCCCGATCGTGTTTCCAATGCTGAAGTTTCGCCTTTGTTTCAAAATAATTCAAAATGGTTTGCGTCTTAAAGTTCCAAATTAATCGCTCAAAACTGTTTTCAGAAAACAATTTTTTGGGTTTTTTGTTTTTGGTTTAATGGTTTTTGTTTTCGGTCTAACTAAAGTTTTTCGGTTTAGTGGTCGCTGTTAACTCATACTAGACGCTTTTTTATGGCTGGTGATTGTTTTTCTTCTCTGTTTTTCTGAACTTGATTTTTCCTTTTCAGAAAATTGTTTTCCGTCATATTTTCTTGAACAGGCTGCTACTGTTTTTTGCTTTCGTAATTTTCTTGGCGTGCAAACTAATTATGCTTTCCAAAACTAGAAAAAAGGCACGTGATTTAGTTCGCTGTGACATGTTTTGTATGTGTGTGTTTTTGTGTGTAGGGTGATTGCTGACATTGTCCACCATTACGGGGGTCAGTTCTACCTGGATGGGGCCAACATGAATGCCCTGGTGGGCCACTGTCGCCCCGTGGACTTCGGGGCAGATGTGTGCCACCTGAACATGCACAAGACGTTCTGCATCCCCCACGGGGGAGGGGGACCAGGAGTCGGACCCATCGGAGTGTCAGTAGTCACACTCTATGCATGAATATCTATTCCCTCCAGCTCTCTCCAAGAAGAACCCTTAATCATTATTAAAATGATCTAAAGCGGTTTTTTGTCAATAACTAATAAGTGACATTTAAAGCGTTACTAGCATGCAATGATCTGTATAAACGACATGTCCTTCTTGAAAATAATTTCAAATGTATCTGTTCATCTCTTTCACGACCCTTTGTTGTAGAGCGCAGCACCTGGTACCTTTCCTGCCCAACCACCCTGTGATAGATGTGAATGCGGGTGGGGCAATGGGCAGTCAGTCCTCTCCTGGGCCCGTGAGCAGTGCACCCTGGGGCTCCTCCTCAATCCTCCCCATCTCCTGGGCGTTTATGCGGGTAAGGTAGCTAGTTCATTACTCTCTTAATTTGCTTTTTAGTGTTGCTTTTATCGTTTCCTCGCTTCTGTTTGCGAAGTGCAGCTTCGCCTCTGTGTAACATGTCGTACTCCAACTGTTTTGAACCTGTTTAAGAGTCGATTGACTTCTTTTTTTCTCAGGAAGAGTCTTGAAACTTGTTCAGGTTCAAATTTACTTTTCGCGGTTTAAATTTTCATAAAAGCAAAAGTGTAAATAGTTTTGAGTTAATAGATCATTAAATAGTTTGAAATAAGGAATGATAATCAATCTACCTGTGATGATGATCATATTCTACGCAAAAGCGAAAAAGAAACATCGAAAAGAGTGCATTTATGAAAAATTTTCACTGATTGCAGAAAAAAAAGCTAGCGATCAAAAAGATCAAAAGAAATTTTCATTGGAACAAATTTCAAAATAATATCGGTTACTAAACACGACATCATAAATTGTTCTCTAAATTCAAAGAGCTTGAAGATCATCTATTTTTTCTTTCAATTTTTTGAAAATTTTTTTTCTGTTTCCTGTCGGTGAATACCGAGTAGTCGGTATTTGGTAGTTATTTTTTCAGTTAAATTAATTGCAAGAGACTGGAGGGAGAGTATAAGATTTTCTACACGGGCAAACAATTAAATTAATTTATTTAATATCTTGTTTTTTTCTGACATTTCGGCTCTTTATTCTATGATTTTTTTTACCGAATTTTTTGCCAATAAATTAACACCCCCGGTGATTTTGCCGGTAAATGCATGAGGTCGTTTTTTCGAATTCTAGTCGGTCACCCTGGTTCATTGACTCTTTTCTAACTGTCGATTGGCTGTGCTTTTATGATCTGTGCATTATCGTGTCTATTTGATGTGGTTCATCTGTAACTCTTAACTACTTCCTTTGGGCGAGTCACAAGAGCGGTTTGCCCATCATTTGTTGATCTCCTTTCCCTCGTTGGGGAATCGTCTCAAGTTGTGTGTTTGTTTGTTTGTTTGTTTGTGTTTGTTTCAGATGATGGGCTCTGTGGGTCTGAAGAAGGCGACCGAAGTGGCCATTCTGAGTGCCAATTACATGCGCAAGAGACTGGAGGGAGAGTATAAGATTTTATACACGGGAAAACATGGCTTCTGTGCCCACGAGTTCATAATAGACACTCGGCCCTTCAAGAAGACTTCCGGCATAGAGGCACACGACATCGCCAAGAGACTGCAGGACTTCGGTGAGTCACCTCACTTCACCAGCTTCACTCTTTGTGTGATCAGTGTTACGTCATCATTTGATTGGGACTAATGAGGTTATAGTTTTGGAGACTATTTTGGATCCAAAGTGACTGTACACATATATACAAGAGTGAAAGTGAGAGAATTTTTAGGTTTGCATGCACCTACAATGTCGTGGCCGGTGGGCAATACTCTGATGATAGAGCCCACAGAGAGTGAGGACAAGGGCGAGTTGGACAGGTACATAGAGGCACTTCTCATCATCCGACAGGAGATCAGAGACATCGAACAGGGACTCATTCTCACGCACCAGTCCCCCCTCAAGGTCAGTCAGCAGCCCACTTTCTGTGCATGGTTCACTATGTTTGTACATGTCTACAGCATAATTTCAAATTTCCTGCAATATTTTGGTTACCTTCTGTCAAGTTTTTACATCCAACGCTTGCTCGGAGGGAGATGCGTTTTTTTTTGTGTTATTTGCGTACCAACCGGCTTTTGTGATGTAAGTTTGCTTTTTCTCCATGGGTAGTTCATCTTTACCCTTGCAATAAGCAAGGGCGTTGCAACCGGTACTAGAACTTTTTCCCCTAAACATCTTTGTTCATAGAATTCACACGTGGAATTGTTACACGCGTGTTACTTGCTTTATTTACACTTGCGAGCAGAGTATTAGTACGAACTTTCTTTTTTTCCAATCTAGCTCGCAAGTAAAAGTGCTCATTTGGTGGCACCTTTGCTATAATCACGATCTGTAGCATTGGAAATTTCATAGCATTTGTTCTGGGCTTCATTTGTGGCTAGTATTTGTCAATCGTCAAGCGTCCTTGGTCGAGTGGGCAGGACGTGCACCGCTAACTCTCGAGGTGGCTGGTATGAATCCATAGCTTTGCAAAAGTGTTACTAATTTTTGTATTTGCCTAACTCGCAAATAAAAGTGCTCGTTACATGGAACTTCTGGTGCACAGCATGGGGAGTTAAATAGCATCTGTTGTACTGTACCTGCTTTTTTGGTGTCTAGTGTTTACACGAGTGTAGCGTAGTCTGATAGTACGATGCAGCTTTTTCCCAACCTAAGTCACAATTGAAGTTGCTAGTTTTGGTGCTATTTTTGGTGGCACTTTGAACTGGTCGGCTGCATTTGCAGTATATTTACACGTGCTATACTTTCGATTAGTAATATTTGAACACAGCTGATGATTTTTTAGTTCAATTGAACCGAAAAAAGCCATTCGTCTCATACATCAGCATTTTAATTAAAATCCCATTTCAGACTTTTTCCAACTCGATATACTTTGAGATCTTTGAAATGCATAATTTATGCGCAATTTGGTTTATTACCTTCTAACTTATTACATGCAAAGTTGGTGTGGCTGCCTTTAATTAAGTACATTCCAATTATTGCATGCAAAATAGAGGTTTTGTGCATTTGCAAGCTAACATATCTTTGCCGCTTTCTCGCTAATGTTTGCGAAGTTGCAGCTTCGTCTCTGTGTTGATAATTTGAAAGCGATCATGGCGCATACACGAGGAGGTGCTGCCCGCATTGGAATTCCAAGAATATAAATCGATTATAATTGTGTTTCACTTTCAGTGTCCACAAAAGTGAAAAAAAAATGATTATAATCAATTAAAATGGATTATAATATTACTATTTTTCGAGGAGACAAAATCCATTCTTAATCCATTATAATCGATTTTTTTTTCACTTTTGTGGGCACTGACAATAAACTCAATTATGATCGATTTTTTCACTTTGTTGAGATGCGAATTCCAATTTTCAACGTTTTAAATTAAAGTTTGTTATTTTTGATTATTAAAAAAATTTGATAATTTTTTTATGTTACTCAATAGCTGAATTTTGTTCCTTTCAACAATTGCTCGCTTCTGTTCACTCCAATTTTTGCCCCTTTGAACCCTTACACCCACCATCCCCCACCTGAACCAATTCCAACCCTGCCCCCATCTGAACCAACCCCCCTCCACCAAATGAATCCCACCTGAACCGCCCCTTCCCCCACACACACACACTCATCATACCTGAAAGGGATCAGAGGGTGGGGGGTTCAAGTGTATGGGGGGGGGGGGTTGTTGGTTCAGGTGCATGGGTCAGGTGATTCAGGTGGGGCGGGGTGGTTCAGCCCGGGGGATCCCAGAAGGCCAGGTGTGTGGGGGGGGGGCAAAGAGGCAAACGTTGGAATTGGGGTTGTAAGGGAGCAAAGGGCCAAATATTAGGGGGAAGAGGTCAACGAAAACTTTTTGCAACTTGAGTTTAGGTTTAGAAATGGAGAAGGCCGTACACTCACTTTGCAAAGATTTTGCATTACTTATTTGTTAAATGCAGAAGTTTTTTGCAAAATTTTGCACGACGCGAAAGGAAAATAAAGTGGAAAATATCCAGTTTCATATGTTTTTATACTTGTTTTATAATCCATTATAATGGATTGCAAATGAATTATAATGCATTATGTTTTTGCCAGAAAAAATGGATTTAAATCCATTTTTTGTCCAATTCTGTTGTCTAAGCCTAAAATGGGAATCAATTATGTTGACAATGTTTTAGACCGCAAAAATCCATTATGATCAATTTTTTTTTTCACTTTTCTTAGATGCGGGTGGCCTGCTCGCTATGCTTTTTGGGTTTCTTCTGTGATTTGTTTGCGTGTGATTGGGTGTTATATATGAGTATTGTTGTGTGTTATAGCACGCACCCCATACGGCAGCGGTGGTGTGTGGGGAGGAGTGGGACAGAGTCTATTCCAGACACACTGGCGCATTCCCCGCCCCCTTCGTGCAGCCAGCCTCCAAAGTGTGGCCATCTGTGGGTAGACTCAACGACCAGTACGGGGATCTCAACCTCGCCTGCTCATGTGACAAAGTCGAGGGATTCTAGATTGTTCTAGAATAATAACAATCACTCAATGCAGTCATCAGCTGCTAAGGCAAACCCCATTTTACACAAGTGCTCTTTTAATTGATATCTTTGAATTTTGTTTTAAACACTTTTAAAATGTTGTTTATACTACTAGCATTAATTCATTCTCAGCAGATTAATTGTTTTCAGCAGGTTACTGAAAAAGTCAGGCTCTAGTGAGTTTACTTACAAAAGGAAGTTCCATACTATTTGAAAAAAAGTAATCCATATTGACTAAATTGATGAAAAAAAAAACAATTTGGAACATAGAGAACGGCAAATTTTTTATTACATCTTCAAGCATACCACAACCACATTCTGTGCTTGACCTCAATTTTAAATCATTCTAGCATCAATCTGTAGGTGCCTTATCGTCTGCGACTTTGCCGTATTTTGTCTCATTCGATTCGCGCCTTTTTGGGCCTTTTTGAATCGTTTTTTTCTTAAAGATTTTTGTTAAATTTAGTCTTAACGACACGTAACAAAAGATGAATAGATTAAATGATTGTTGTTAATGGATTCAGATCGATCGAAAAACAACTCCATAAATCAGGGAAAATATAAATTGAAAATAATTTAGAATTAATTTAAATTGATTATTTTGGCTACTAAAGAGTTCAGTTTTGATAGGTTTAGAATCGATTTCAATTCATCCTTTTTTCCTTGATACTTTTTCGTTAGTTAAATTGATCTTGATCAATTTTTTGTAAAATGCAAGCAGTTTGTTTACCCAGCGGAGCATAGTTTTTTATTACGGTATCCGGTATCCACTTTTTTAAACCCAAGTCGCAAATATAATTGCTCATAAAAGTGGCACTTGTGCATTTTTATATTTGGTTTAATTTTGCTGCTTTGCATTATACCTTTGGATCTGGTTTGTTGGTGGCTAGTTCCTGTATGGATTGGGCTTTTTATTGTTATGTTTGAGACGCTTTGGAAAAAGTTTTGCTTTTTTACAGAGTCTTTAATTTTCTCAAGAACTACTTTGTCGATTTCCGAAAAAGTAGGACCTATGGATACTCGTCTGTTTGCCTGATTTTTCCTTTAGCATCTTTTTCTTCACTCAATACTCTATCAAAAGCCTTCAAAAATTTTATTGGAGTGTTTTAAAATCCATTTTTTGGATAAGTTTTTCGAAAACTATCATGCCAAATCCGAGGTTTGAAGATTATTCTGAATATAATGTCATGGGGATTATTCATACATAAGCTGTTATTTCCTAGTCTTTGTAGAAAAGAATTTTGGTCTATGAAATAGTTGAACATTTTGGAAACTTTTTTTTCTCGAAACCTTCTTTGTCAAATCTTAGGTTGAGGTTTCAATCGCAAAAACCAGTGTTTTTAATCCTCCTTGAAAAATGGTTATGCCCTTGAAAAATGGTTAAGATAAATTTTGACTATTGAAATTGTCTCATTTGGAAATTTTGAACGTTCTTTGGAAACTTGTTTTGAATAGCTTTTTGGATTATTTTTCCAAAAAATATCCTACCAAATCAGGTTAATGGTTTGATAAAAAAGAAAAAGTTTTTGAACATTCTCTGCATCACTAGTGTTGCGTTATTTTGCCAGTTTTTGGCAGCTTTTTGATTTGTCTCGAAAACTACTCTGGCAAATCTAAGATTATGTGTTCAATCGAACGAATATAGTCATAGGAATTTTCTCGTCATATTATCTATGCTCCAATATTTTTGTTTGAAAAATAACGTTGGATTTAGCAAAATCCATTTTTTGATTTGTTTTTCATTTTTGGAAATTTTTACCCTTGCGATAAGCAAGAGTATTGCAATCGGGTACTAGACTTTTTTCCCATAAAAACTTTGTTCACAGGACTCATCTCCTGGATCTTGGACATATGATTCTACTGGGCCTTTTTTGCAGCAGACATTTTGAGCAGGTTAGCATCTAAATTTCCGAACTAAACGAATTTTGCTTTTTATGTTGGTTAAAATATTTTTTACTGCGATCAGCTTAGTGCATTAGTACGAATCTTCCTTCTTTTGAAACTATCACGCAAATAAAATTGTTCATTGAAAGTGAAAAGTGATCACTTTTTAGTGGCACTTTGGTTATAATCACGATCTAGCACTGGAAATTTTATAGCATCTGTTCTCTGCTTTAATCGTGACTAGTGTTTGTCGGTTGTTTACCTTGCGTTGCTTGAAGCGGCGAAGGCTTCTGGTTTTTTTGCAAGTAGATTTATGGGCTTTTTTGGAATTTTGTCCATCTGTTTACTTTGGTCGGATTTGTTCCCATAGCCCGACTTTTTTTGAAGGTTCCGCTTTCGTCGAACTTGCTTCGAAACCCCTGCTTGAGACGACAAAGCCAGAAGTTTCCATTCCAGTCGAGGTCTTTTTCGGCTAATTTTGATTATTGTCTGTCTGTTGATTTTTGTTGGCTCAGTTCCGCAGAGAGATTTATTTGAAACTTCGGCTTCTTTCCAGCATTCCGAAAGTTACTTGTAAAATTTCTGATGGTGCAGGTAGGTTTGTTCCGGACATTATGGGCTTTTGCTGCAGTTTTTATTGACAACGATTTCGAATTTTTTTTTCTTCAATTTTTGCAAAGTCCAGCTTAGCTTGTTAAAGTACCTGAAAAGATTATCGTAAAAAAGGATAATATACCGCAGGTTTCTTTCGCTTTTGACAAACTTATACCTTTATTCTATTGTTACAAATGTTTTTTGTTAATGTACTTTTTCCAACCCAAATTGCTTAAATTGGTGCGCAAAACATTGTATATCTATTCAAAAATTTAAAAAAAACCTTTGAGTTTAGCACAGATAAAAAATCACTATTTAAAGTAGCTGCAAACTTAAACTGATCAACGTTAAAACAGTTAGAATGCGTTGCAAAAAACAGTGCTGATTTTAATTATCTGGACAAAATATAATTAACTTTAAAACGCATATCTCTGAAATTGGGTTGTGCTTACGTGAAAAATTACGAAGGCAAAACCTGCTTAGAACTTTTGCAAATTAATATCGTGAATTTTTTTCGCGAAATTCAGGCTCAAATTGTAACCCCAAAAGCGGATCGTTTTTGGCTTTTTAGTTTTTGGCTAATTATATCGAATTGAGCCTCTTACGTAGCCAAAGTTTAGGAAAAATATAATCTCCAAAAAAATTGCGCAAAACGTTTTTAAAATGTCTTCAAATAAAAATGGGTGTTTGAGTTGAAACAAAGGACATTTTTTGTCTATCAAACAAAATTAAATTATTTTCACAATGTTTTTTTTTGGCTTAAGTTCACATAATTTGGTCAGATACTGACATGGTAGTTTTGGCGTAATTTTTAATTACGTAAAACAGTCAAAAATGATCCATATATGGGGTAAAATTTCTGGCTCAAATTTCTCAAAACAAATTGGACTATTTTAATTCTGCAAAAATTCTAACTAAGTTTTTTTCTTAATCATTTTCAGCCTAAACTCAACCTAATTTGAGAAAAACGCGTTTTATTCTCCAAGTTTTTGCGTTTTGCTTGGATATTTAAATCAGCACTCTGCGAGTGATATAGATAAACGAATTACTTGAGCTCAGTTCAGTGTTTAGACCAGCGCACTTTAGTGAGCGTTATTGTAATAGTACGATTATTTTTTTTCTAACCTATGTAGCAAATATTGGTGCAATTTTCTGCGGCATTCTTACGGCTTTTTGATAGCTTGTGCTTTGAAATTTGAATAGTGATAAGTTAACACATGATGCATTTTTAATTCATCAAATGAACCGAAAAAAAAACTATTTGTTTCGAAGAACAGAACAATCATAAAAATTCAGAAACTATTTAACTGAAAATAACTGCTTTACTTCGGGAAAACTAAAACTCGAAGATAAATTGGCTATCTTTTTCCTCTCCCCCCACCTCATATAAATATCATTTTTATGGTGTAACGAGGGGTTTTACAAGGTTAAACATAAGGACCAAATGTGTTTGTCCAATTAGTTTGCGTGCCAATTTTCGTTCGGATGATGTGAACAAAATTTCAGTGGTAAAATTTTGCAGGTGGGGAGAAAAGGTAAAAAAGCCGATAAAATTTGCGCTTCTTTGGCATTAAAAATCAATTTTTCAAAAAAATTTTCTTCATTTTTTGGATGCTAGTGTAGTATTCGACGTTGTATGTTCTACGCTTTTGTCTGATTCATATAATCACTTCGGGCTCAAAATTGACACAACTTTCAACAAATATATGCGAATTTCATCGAAATTAATAGGTAGGGAGCTTCTGCACTACTTGCGCAGCAACCGGCTACTATTGTTCTGAATTTGAAATTTGGTAATTGCGGTAGAACTGCAAAAAAAGTCTGTTTTTTCGACCACATAGAACTTTTGTCGTGGTTAACAGGGCTTCAATGTTATAATACACCCAATGATCGACGAGTTTGCTTTGGATGAACTATCACTTTTTACGCCACAATTCTTTTTTTAATTAACCAACCAGAGAGCTAAACCTAAGGTTAATTATTTAAGGTTCACTAAGTTATAGCTCACCTTGTAAATTGCAGCGCACGTACCATTTCAACCCGAGATCTTATGATTTCTGGGCACCATCGCTACCGATGCGCCACAACGCCAGTGTGGTAATTCGAGAGAGGTCGCAACAGATATGGATGGAGCGCAAGGCGTCATCTTTACTTTCAATATCACAGCCTTCGGGACGAGGGACTGGTTCTAATTTTGTATGATGCTGTGCTGCGCTTCGTTTCAGCTGCAGCCATTTGTGTGAAAATATCGCGTGTAAATTTTTATTTTGGATGTGTCCTAGTCCAGTGCATGTGATGTCAATGTATTGTTTAAATAACTTTTTCGCCGTTTTCTGCTGAAAATTAGCTTCAGTACTGTTCCGTGTGCTTTGCTTCTCTACAGTGTGATGTGTGTTCGTCTGTTTTTTCTAATTTATGACAGTTTCTAACTATCTGTTTATAGTCTGATTAAGTCACTTAAGAATATTTGCTTCTGTACTTTTCAGATGTCCAAATCAGTCATCTGCAAGAGTTTGGTTGAGGCGGATGCTCAAGTCGCTTCAGAAGAGCTCTGCGCGTTTGAACGGAAGCCAGAGCGTATGATGCACCTGGAGGCTGGCGAGGTAGAAGAACTGCAGGCGGAACCACATTTCAAGAAGGCGAGGCAGGACATGGCATGTTTGTACAGGGATGCGCGGAAGAAGAACCTGAAGTTAAAAGAGGACAAATACGGAGGATTTGGTCTGTTCAACCAGACGGGCAGGAAGATCAAGCCCAGACTGCAACCTCTGGACGATCCTGTGGGCGTGCAGAAAGAGATCCCGTCTGAGTTGCTGGGACAGATCTCCGATTTGTCTGTCATCGTGGGCTCCAGTGTGCAGAAGAAGGAACATGTCCTGCTCGGACCATTAAGGTATGTGAACCACTCGTGCTCCCCCAACACAGTGTACTTCACTGGCTGCACACACTACCGAGTGACCAAGCACTCAATTGTGCGGCTGCAAGTGGTCCAGTGCATCGAGCAGGGGGAGGAGATCACGGTGGATTACGGGCAGCCGTTTTTCCGAGATGGCGGCTTGAAGTGCCAGTGCCCACATGTAGAGAAGCACCCCCAGGAACCAGAGGAGGGAGAGGGAGAGTGTCCCAGTCGAGAGCGAGGAGGCCACGAAGAGGACCAGTCGACAGAGCAAGAGGAGTTAGTGGTCACTGCGAGTAAGCAGCCGAAGCAACCCCAGGAACCAGAGGAGGGAGAGGGAGAGTGTCCCAGTCGAGAGCGAGGAGGCCACGAAGAGGACCAGTCGACAGAGCAAGAGGAGTTAGTGGTCACCGCGAGTAAGCAGCCGAAGCACCCCCAGGAACCAGAGGAGGGAGAGGGAGAGTGTCCCAGTCGAGAGCGAGGAGGCCACGAAGAGGACCAGTCGACAGAGCAAGAGGAGTTAGTGGCCACCGCGAGTAAGCAGCCGAAGCACCCCCAGGAACCAGAGGAGGGAGAGGGAGAGTGTCCCAGTCGAGAGCGAGGAGGCCACGAAGAGGACCAGTCGACAGAGCAAGAGGAGTTAGTGGCCACCGCGAGTAAGCAGCCGAAGCAACCGGATGTGAGCGCCACGGTCAAGGCAGCTGCTGAGCTGATCCGGCGGACCCTGTGGTACCCGAATCATCAGTCAAAGGAGGGGGAGGCTGAAGAGAGTGAAGAGGCTGCTTTGATTGCTGAAATCTGTTTGAGTGTTCTTGAACAGGTGAAGGCGGTCGATACAGTCGAGGATCTCTCAGTGAAGATAAGTATCATCGGTGACAAAATGGTTAGAGTTCAAGTGTCTGTATATGCCATCAGGGAATTCGAACTGACTCTTGAATGGGACGTCTCCGAGCAATCCATGAATGCCTGCATCAATTCCCAGCCAGTGCGCTGGAAGCGTAAGAGTTCTGAATCCAGCTGGCGGGCCAAATGTCAAGTGAGCGAGGATCTTGTGCTGAAGACGACTGAGGGTTCTTCCCGTCCAGTAGACGCCCTCACTCAGTTGCTGGTTCGCTTTGCGCTCCACGCGGATTGTTTCATACCCTGATCACAGTCCAGTGACCGAATCAGCAGCACCTGCAAATAAGTAGATCATTAAAACGGTAAGTTAAGTCGAAAGCGAAGTTGGACGAAATGGAATGTTGTTTTAGTGTCCATCTCCAGACTTTTTAAACTACACTAATCGGCTTCTATCCTAATAGTGGGCTAATTTTTCTGAGGTTGGGTTTATTGTTCTCACTGTTCATGGAAATATTTCGATTGTATTTATTTTAACCAGTTTTTTTTTTGTATTTTTATATCGTAACTAAAATCCATAGCCTGCGAGAGGAAGAATAGGTTGTCTATTTTCTTGTCAATTTGAGATAACGTAATATGCGCTAAAGAGCAGTTTAAAAGGTAAATAAATATTTGTTCTTTTAACGAGTCTTATATAGGTCGTGATTATTTTTTTAGCGTTTTTTCTCAGCTAAAGTCCTAAATTTGTTTATGCTCAAGTTTTCTTTTCGAGGTTTAAATTTTGATAACAACTGAAGTGTAAAAGCAACGAAAAACGTGATCAACTTCTTGTTTCGAAAGTGGAATTTAATTTTTCCAGTTTTCCCAGCAAAATAAAAGGATCAAGTTAAGTTAACATAACATCCTCTCCCCCCCCCCCCCCCCCCCAATAGACCAAGTTAAGATCCTCCACCCCCAGCGTTCAATTTGAATTAATTTTGCTTAGCGCTGCGTGTAAAACGCTCTATTCTGATTGGATGAAAAATCGAACTCAGAATCAAGTTAACATCCTCCCGCATCGTTAACATCGACTACCTGAAATCAAATGTTAAATTACTAGAGAAACTACTCACGCTAATTATCAAAGAAAAGCCAAAATGTCTGCAACTGCGAATTAAACAATTATTTTGGCGCCAAAACGTCTAAATTCCAAATTTTCTCTCCCAATATCTTTAAGTGACACTTAAGATTGTAAACGTTCGTCGTTTAATTTTTGTTTGCCGCACTTAAACGACGAATTTTTATTGCCGCACTTTTTGTTTACCGTTAAAATTTGTTCGTGTTTTCGGCACTGTTTAACAAAGTTTTCATTTTCGGCACTGTTGAACTAATTTTTTTTCGGCGCTATTGTACTTCCGCACTGTTGTACTGTCCCCGTAACGCGTATCTTTTATGCGTGGCGAATTACCCCGCCCAACAAAATTGTTCCAAATTTAATGAGGCTAACTAATTGGTCGTATTAATTTCGTACGACTAAAATTTTCACACTTGATCTTGGATATTGACCAAAATTTATAGCTTTTCATTATTTTTTCCCCAAAAACTTCGATATGGATTAAAGGGCAATCGGAACATTCAGGCTTTGCTCTGATATACAAACAGTCTTGTTTTTGTTTACTTGCGTTCTGTAGAATTGGTGATTCTACTGTATTACATGCTATAGCAAACAAAGGGTAAAGTTCGAAATAGTTCAATCTTCGAAGATATCGTCCCTCCTATTCCAGAAATTTTTTTTTGACAAAATCGGAACTAAGAAAGCTAATGTTATGGAATTCAGAGGAGCGCTACTAGAGATGATTTGACCCGGGCATACAAAAAACGGGACCACTCAGACCTTTGGGGGGCAAGTGATAACGGTCCCAGGAAGTGTAAATGGCCCTATCAGAACTCGGAAACCAGCGGCGGTGTTGGGCTCATATTTTAGTATGTTGTAGGCCTAGTTGAGGGACGCTTAAGTTCAGAACCCCAGACCCCTAAGACCCCCACTTCCGGTTTTATGGCCAAAGTAAACAAACCCACCCGTAACTTCCGGAAGTAGTTTCTCGGCCTCCAATGATGGCAGGGAGCTGAAACTTAGAGGGATGATAGGTAGTGGCAAGATACAGCTTGTATTATAGTTTGAATCAAATCCGGCGGTTGGACCGGAAGCTATTAGCACTTGGAAAAACACCCCCTTAGACCGGAAGTAGGCAATTTACGCAAACTAATGGGCGAGGGCATACGGATTTTATTGCGGCAATGGACATAAGATACGAACCCCGAAAAAAGACCCCGGGAAAAGTGATAATGGACCTTAGAAATGGGATAACTTGTGAAGTATTATTGGGATATGAATGAAACTTGGTAGTTAAGACCCCCATTGGATTCTGAACCAAATATGGAAGTTTGACCCGGGGTGACCTCAAAATGACCTTTGGGCGTTTAGGATCAAATTTGTATAGAAAACCTCGGGATTAACACCGTAAAGTGGCGTATTCCCCAGCACAACCGCTGGAAATGAGAATGGTCACCTCGCTAAAAATTGGGGGAAAACTTATATACTGGTAACTAGAGCAGAAGCTGATAAAGATATAGCTTTTACATTACAACCTTGGAGTAGTGGATTTAATTCAAGGTGGACTTGGTAAACATTGGGTTCAGTTTAGCTTGGCGAATGCGCTATTAATAGAATATCAATCAGTGTAAAAGAAAAGTAGTCCCAGAGCAATCTGATCGTAATAGAACCCTAGCATGAGAGTGAAGTTTCCTAAATAGTATGAATGGACGGGAAATTTGCTTGGCTCTCCGGAGGTGACTTTTTGGTTTAATTTGACCCCTAACCGACGAACTACGTTCCCCTGATAGCTAGAAGGTCTGGATTGGAATAAAGTACAGATAGAATTTTAAAATGCCTGAAATTAGTTAGCTACCCACAAAAAGGGTCTCCCCCTACCCTTGGTAGGTCGAAACGTTAACGGGATAATTAAAATAAAGACCTTGGGAATAAAGACTGAGTAAACATAGCATGGTTTGGAGGTTGAGTTGAACTCGAAAGCTGAAGTTGACAGAGTTCAGGAATTGGTTGATTGGAATCGTATGACATTTGTTTGCTTGGTCAAATTGTGACAGCTACCGTATACCGGGTATCTAATAAGCGTGAAAAGATTGATAAAAGAAATCGAAGTTGGCACGTGGCAGAGTTGACAGGGGGAGGGATATAGCCTTAAACATGTGCAAACAGGTGATTTAGGCGGATGTCAGGACTGATAGGGAATGGCGTGACTTAAGTAAAACTAAGTGTAAAGAAAGATAAGGAATTGGAGGGTACCGGAGAGCCTTTGAGAGTCAGAACAGTTGTGCGCTACCATTGAGAGTAGTTGGTTCTCGTCTGAGAGGAATTATTGCGAGCAAATTGAATAGTTGGTTCTCAGTCAGTTAGAGAACGAGTTGGAAGACTTGTTAATGTGAATGTAGATTAGTTAGTGAATGCTAGTTAGGCTATCTAGAGGATAGCGGAATCGTTGTTGGACGATTGTTATTGAAATAAGTTCTCGAGGAGGACGTTAGTTTGTAGTGAGGTGTTAATTGAACTGCAGGACGCAGTTGGCTTAAATAATAGTAATCGCGAACCCCTTTCTTTAATTGAATGATTAATTTGTATCTCAGCCAATTATAGGCTACTCTGTATTTGGTTATATTCATTTCTTAATTCATTCTTATTTTGGAATTGTTGTTGCGATCGATTATTGATTGACGGGTGAGATACAGTCGGAGGAGCACGAATCACGGGGCGAGCAGCATAGTACAGTACAGAGCAGCCAACCACCAAATCAACCCTTTTGGGATTGTGAACAGTACTGGTAATCGGTTGCCCCGCTGACCTCAGTACAAAATGGGAACATATTGCGGCGGTGTGAAATAGCGAGCAAGTTCGGCCTAGAGATATTGTGAATTCCCCCACGTTTACAGTGGCGCTATTCTGGATTGTAGCTGCAACGACGATTTGTGTGGGATTACGAGGACGAGAAGAACGAACGAACGATCAACGAAACAATTGCGATGGCGATGAAGGATCAAGACAGACAGCTGATTGCAGAGGCTGCAGTGGCAGCGGCCAATGCTCTCAATCGACAACAGGGAGTGTTCGGATTTGGTACGATACGACCAGATCGGTTTCCCTCGAGCTGCTATCAGAACTGGCGAGACTGGAGGAAACACTTTGCCTTGATAGCAGACGCCAATCGATGGGACGATGAGCAGGCCAGGATGGTGCTGCCGACTTGTCTGACAGGCTGGGCATTGTGACATTCTTCTGCACAATAATTTATTTGAGCTTTATGGAAAAAGAGGATTTGTACAAGAATGGTTTGAAAGTTATTTGACTGACAGATATCAAATTGTTAATACACATGTTAGTAATTCGAATTGGCTGGCCGTATCTTGTGGCGTGCCTCAAGGATCTGCCATGACCCCTATTTGTTCTTGTGTATGTGATTGATATGTGAGATACCGTCAATCATCTGAAGTTTACTTGATGGTCATTATACAATGTAGCTTGTAAAAGCCAAGAGTAAAATAAGCGCGCTTTAAATAAAGATAAGTCGATCTTATTAAGTTTTAAAATCCGGTGCTTTTAGTATCAGTCTTTTCCTAATGAAAATGATATTGGTCCCTCAACCATGCTCTATGTATTGTGTATGTGTGGGTGTGTATGTTGATTCCAAGCTATCATTCTTGATTCATCTATTGAAGCATAAGTCAAAATTAGGTAGATAAGTCGATTATTCCTAAAATGAGAAGTTTTATTCCCATTGGAATCCTTATCAAATTTTCTTTTAGTATCATTCAATCTATTATTACACTTGCGACAATTAGACTTCTTTCCCGTAAACAATTTTTATGAGAACTTGCACTTGCTTCAATATTGAATCTTAATAATTTTCAGGTTCGTTTCCACTTGGCCTGGAGGTAACGCACTCTAGCCTGGAGGTAACGAAGTTTTGAGGTTCGAGTCCCCGCAGAACCTTGTTTTTTTTCCTTATGTTGGAAATTGGAAATCTTTCCAGTAAAAATTGAATTGTAAGAGTTTCGTTTGTCTGCGCAATTTTTGTTGACTTAGGTGCTACATCACGGATTTTTCTTGTGGTGTTAGCAAAAATCATTAATGGCATTTTTTTTCTTGGCATTTTCAGGTAGACTTAAATTTTTAAAAAGTTTAACATGAAATGAAAGATTCGTCGTTTTTTATAAGAATAGATTTTTTGGAAAAAAAAACAGTTTTTATGAAACTGTATGGATTTGGGGGTTCTTATTGCATTTTGTTTTTGAGACGATTTGAGCTTTGAGACGATTTGAAGACTTGGATTTTTAGTTTTTGCGAAAAATTTTAGTTATTCTCAAAACTACTTTTTCGGTTTTCAAACAACGTATTAATGAAAAGACCGCCCATTGTATTTGCCGCCTTTGAAAGCATGTCTGCAGCTTGTAAAAGTGTGTCTGCATAATTCTCTGGTGATTTTTTACATGAACTTTTTTGGGGAAAATTCCTTTGGTGGAATGTTTGACCCTTATTTTCGTTTTCTCCGAAATCACCCTCCCAAATCTAAGATTTAGTTTTCCAATCAACGGTTTTGTGGGAAGCTCCCCTCTGCGTGACCGGCTCCGCCCAAAGATTTTTTTTACACAAGAGTAGTGGTCGTCGAAAAAGTCAAATTTTTGATTTTTTTTGACCGTTTTAACTTATTGAGTTTTCTCGAACTTAACTAATCTCCCAAATCTGAGATTTCTGGTTCAAATTAAATAACGGCATTAAGGAATTTCCCTGGCATAGATGACAAACCCATTTTTTTACTCAAAAGTTGATGGACCTCGGAAAAATTAATCTTTGGTTTTATTTTCGGTGAAACTTTGACCTTTCTCGAAGACTACTCTTCCAAATAGTTTCGTATCGTGTGTTGTATCGCAGATGGTTTGAAACTGCGCCTTGCGTCGGTAAAAATATGATCTGTTTGTGTTTGGCTGGACTTGCTACACAAATTTGTTTCCATTTTTTTTGAAGCAGAAGAAATTAGTCTGAGTGGTTTAATACAAACAAAATCGGAAACACTAGGAATTTTCTATATACTGACCAAATATTGACAATGCATGAGCTATTTGCTTATCCTCTTGAAATTATTGTTAAGATCTTTAAAAAATGTCTACTCTGAAAGTTTTAATTTTTTTTTGTAAATAAGCCAAGATCAATTGAACAAGAGGTTCAGCATAGGCCACTTTCAGCAAAGGTAAGTTAAAGGGAACTTCAATTTCAAGTAGAGGATACAAGTTGACAATCTATTTAGCAAAAATCGTAGTTTTCTTGAAGTTTTGTTGAGATTGAAATAGGATGCGATCAGTTGCTTCGCGAACTAAATAAAAGACACATATAGTCTTGAAAGTCTTGTTAGTGCGTACTATTTTTCTTCTTGAGGTGGCTAATACTTTCGTTTCAATAATGAATAAAAGGTAGTTTTTTGTAAGTTTGTTGTATGCCTTGACAAGTAAATTAAGTATTGTTTTTATAATCATGAAAATTTGAAGGTTCGTTTTAATGCTACCCTGCTGAAAAAATAGTTTGCATTTCTCTCAATTTGTTATGATTATTAGAAAATTATATATTTCAAAATCTTTAAATTTGCTGAAATTAATTTTTTTATCTTGTTCATTGTTTTTTTTCTGAAATGCATGCTCATGGTCGGAAAATTTGCTCGAAGTAAGCAATGAGGGGATGCGCTCTGGAAGCTTGCAGCTTAAAAGAAATGAAATGGAAAAAATTGCAAAAATGCATTTTTTGTGTTTTTTTTGTTCTTATTCTCATGAGGGTACAGAGTATCTATCGAATTGTAGATTTTCCCTAGACACGCAGCTTTCATTGTTCAGAATTCAAAACTTCGTTTAAATGCTTTGTTATTAAATCCATTATTTTTTTTAATTTTATTTTTCAGTAATTCTGAAGCATTATTGTATTTAGAGGAATATATTCTTCTAATAATAATGATAGAACTTCTTTCAAAGAAACTCTCAATTTGTAGAGCCAATGAAAACTAAGCGCAGCCTTATTTAAGTATCTGATAGACCTGTAGCATCATATCAGGTCAATCTTTTTGAGTTTCTTTCAACTCATGTTTTTTTTTGCATGTGTTAATTTTGTGTTCTTTTTCTCAACCATCTCGACTTAATTTGATTTTCCTTTGCGTTTTACTTTCGTCCTTTTCCCCTAATTTATGAACTTACAAGAGTTTTTGTCCGGTTGAAATGACGAAAGTTAGTGTAGTAACTTCGGTTACCGTGATAATTTCTGACCTGTTTTTATCTTCACACTCAAGGGCTGTGAAGGGTAAATTTCTCAATAATGGGTGGGTATATGCATATTTTAATAATTTACGCTTCTTAATAAGATGTCAGAAGTTCTTTCCTTGTTTTAAGTTTCTGCCGATGTACTCGAGAAGAATGCTTGTTTTGTGCCAAGCCAAGAAGACGTGACTCGGGTGTTGCAGCACATCTTGGATGCAATTAATCGACATAACTTGGCACCTGGACAATCAGGAAGCGCATCGTCTGCCGTAGTTGCGGAATGCGAACAGCAAATGTTTCTCAGTTTGATAAAGTTGTCAACGCATGAAGGGTTTTGCTTGCCGTTCAAACCTCAGAATTCATCGTCGGTGTCAGCCCAGGGTTAGTTATACTGTTCACGTGCTTTGATCAGAAGTTGAAGAGATGATGACGCAACATAAATGTTTAACGATCTGTAACGATAACGTCAGGGTCGATAAACACAAGAAGTTCAAGTTCGGCCAGTATCCATGTCCTGTTTTTCGTGGAGGACTCCACTGGTTCTTAATCAAATCAAAAAGATGCGAGATATTTTATTTCAAGCCATGGTAACAAGGTTAAGTGTTGATGTTAAAGGCTGCTTAACATAATAATTTCATTCATGTATTTAGACCCTACAGTGTCATCACTTATGGATACAGAAGAGAAATACAATGCTGTTTTGTGGCAGCAAATCTGCAAAAAGTTCGAATCTTCATTCATCAGTTTCTTACAAACGTTGCCAGTTGCGAACAGCTCACCTATCAAAAACCAGCTTCAGAAACGACACTTCCTACTAGAAGCGCTATGTACCCTTCTTCCTGTGAATCATGTTTGGTCAAAATATTGCGCAATCCGAATGCAAGACCTGCATAAGCTGACGTCACAGGTTTTGCATTTTCAACTTGGTCCACGAAGTAAAGTGAACTTGACCAACTTGAATGACGAAGATCAAATAGGCAGTCCACGTTTTGCTGCTGGGCTGCAGGGAAGTGTCGGAACTGCAGGTCATGAAATGCAGATGACCAATTTCAACCAGTTTGTCAAACTACTGCCTACGTTTTACAACAAAGTTAAAGTAAGTGGAATCATTCGGAAAGTAAACACTAAAACCTCATTAAACACGCAGATTTCCGTTAATGGAGATCAAACTACTGACAATTAGTTTCAAGTGTTCTCAGCAAAGCTGTTTTTAGCTGATGGTGGAGGAAGACGAGTTTGTTGTTCTGAGTGATATCTTCGGATCCAAAGTGTCTGTCAGCGAGGTGTATGCACAAATATATCTGCCCTTCATCGAAACTCTTCTCAGCAAAATCTCAGAGCGAGTCCAATCCAATTTGCTCCAGCAGCAGTGCCAGAAACAGGTGAATGTGGAAAATATTGCGAGTTTGGATGAAAAGAAGAGGTCTTCATCCAAGCAGCGAAAAAGCGCAACTGCAATTGTGGGTGCCAAAAGAAAGGACGAAGATGAGTCTGCGTCAAACAGGTGTGTTTTGTGAACCAGTCAACATGCAGCCTTATTCATTAAGAACATGCCGACCTGCGGAAAATACGAAAAATGTAAAAGAGTCGGAGGATAATCAGAAAAGAAGTTATCATAAAAGTGAATGTCAGGCCTAAAGTTTCTTGGAATGCGTATGTAAAACGACTTTTCTTTTTTGTTTTTGTTTCTGCTCACAGGATTATAAATAGAAAGTTTTTTGCTGTTAGATCAAATGTTGTAAGTTACTTTTTGGACGTTTGTTTTGTTGACTGTGTCCCATTTCAGATCTCAGCAAACGCAAACTCAGAGTGCATTTAGTGAGTTCACTAGCTTCATGGATACTTTGCCATTGAATGAAGATCAATTGCAGACTGTCAACGTACCAACCTTAACTATCGAAGAGCTGAAGCAAATAGGCGAAGTAATCAAGCTATCAGTTTGTGTTGGCTTTTGCCGTACTATCATATAACTATCTGGTAAGTTTCTACTTTGTCGTATGTCGTCTCTGGTTCGAGGTCTTCTTGCAATTCCTGGTAGTTCTCTTATCGTTCGGAATTTTGGCTTTGATCTATTGAGTCGTAGAGACATTTCGATTAAATTATCGTCGTGTAACATTTTAAAAATGTTTTGTCTAAATTTTAATCTATTTTTGGTTAATTCTAAGCTATTAAGGTCTTGTTCGAGACTTATGGTCGCACCAGATGAGTTATGACCTATGTGGTTAACTCATAGAGTAATTTCGGATAGGGTACACCGTCTGCTCGTCACGCTATCTTATTTTCGGCCGGATAGATTCGTGCAACTTCTTAGTCTAATACCGATCCTAATCTTACTCTTATACTATCTAGTCTCAGGTTGTTTAACTAGTCTCTGCTAGGCTCAATAGATCTAGGGTATACTGGTTTATTGCGGCTGCTGAAGTCTTCTTGGAGAGTCAACTAATTTCTAAGTTAAATTCAAATCTCTCTGGTGCTGAAATTATAAGTAATTTCAGCACTTACAAATAAGTGGTTTGTTAGTTAGATGGATAATGATTGGTTAATATTAAATACTTTACAGTGGTAAAATATCTAATTTATCCAATCATAAAATGTAGTTTAGATCAGGTTCCAAATTTGATGTTCGGCCTGGAATGATTGAGGTTGTGCAGTTTAAAAATCAGTTAAATTTTTAGGTTTTTTGAATTTTTAGTTTTTATGAAACTACTACCCATGCTGGTTGCTTGTGGCTGAAGCATTCTACCCGGGAAAGAAACATAAACCCTCAAAAATTGCATGGAATTTTAATTTTAACCAGGATAACAAACAACAGCTGTTTCCGTGCAGAGTTGAACAGTTCATACGTTGGTTTAACTCCACTTATGTAAAAAAAAAGAGAGGTTGGCGTGTTATCTGAAATGATGATGGATTTCAAATATTGGGTGTTTTCAACGGAATAATTTAATCAACAACCACAACAACTGCTTCATTTAATTTTGAGCAAACTAGTTGAATTTTTAAATAATGAATTTGAACAGTCGCTTTAATCAAAACAATTAATTATGATTTCAAAATAGAGAAATTATTTTTTATATTTCATCATTGGTTGTTTGTGTGCAGGTGACATCAGTAACTTCCTGAAGGGAGACCCCCTGAAGACGACAGGATGGGCCAACATCTACCTCCTCCTCTCTCCCATTGTGAAGGAACTGCTGCAGACCAGTCTCCTCTGTCTGTTCGAGACATCCGCACCTCCTGTGTCTCCACTACCCTCCCAATGTACTCGGCAGGATCTTTGGGGGAGCAGCCTTTTTACCAGAGTCTAGGTTAGACAGACCGCAGAGAAGACACGCTAAATATAATAAGCGCCACAAAATAAGGTTAAAATTCAAATAATAAATGATGAAGAACGAAGTTTTTTCAAGCAAATGCAAAGTTTGAGCAGCTCATTTTTCTGTTATTGTTCCGACCAATGAAAATGGGGAGAAACTTTTTATCAAGTGTATTTTAGTTTTTTTTTTGTTTTCCTCGCAACATCGGGTACCGCAAATAATTATTGGAATGGTGCGAGTGATCAAATTGAAGCTCTTTGAGTCGCGATTTCAAATGACATTAAAAAAATTTCAAAAAGTTTTTCCAGTTTCGAAATACTGGTTTAAATTTCTGATTTTTAGTGCAATTTCGAGCAAATAAAGCGAAAAGCAGGCTTACAATAGCTTATTTAAGCTATGTTTAAGCCCTGCAAAGTTGGTTTCTCGCAAAAAAACTATTTTTGAAATTTTTTTACCGCCATTTTGGGAATCAAAAACTCGACGAAAATAAGTTTGAAAAACAATTTTTGAGTTTTTTGTTTTTCTAGTCATTTTCTACTAAAATTGCTGTCCCTTTTGCCTACATTGAAACCAATGAGTAAATTAACGCATTTATGAGTGCACTTAGGAATATATGCTTATTTGTGTATTCAATCCTTATTCGTCTGCTTTAAGTTGGGTAAATTGCATCTCCGAACGGGGAAATGGCACAAACAATTTTGAATGACTTCGTTTCGAAAATGCATTTGGATTTTTAGGTTTGCCAGCGGAATCAAAAATTAACCTATCGATCCAATTTTCTCGAATTGAATAATTTAATCAAAAAAAGGTTAATCATAAAAAAGTTGATTTCAAACATATATACATGTATGTGCAAGTTTTTTGAGACATCATGCACTTCTTGAGTCAGGTATTGACTCCTGCTGAGAATTTATTCGTAAACCATGATTTTTAAACAAGCATATCTTGTCTTATAGTATTAACTTTTTTTCCAACCTAGTCGCAAATATTGTTGCGATGGAATTGTGGTGACCAAATGTGTTTATTTTGAAAGTGTTCGTTTTGATCCAGCTGTCAATACAGCCAATGCTAACGATATTAACACTGACTATTATATTACAAATAGCGCTTTATATTCAAGGCATCATGAATATGTAGCGTAGAGTTAGGGAAAGAGTCCAGCAACAAAATAAGAGGGTTCGTACCTGGGCAGTGTTGGATGTTTAAATGAACTTTTTCGTATACTAATTGAAATCCGCTCTATAAATTGAGGCATGTTAGTTGGTAATTTTTTTTTCAAATTGACTGGTACTGCGTATGCGTCATACTTGGCTTGCGTCACTTAGCAATTATGTAGACTCATAATTGGCGTGCGTCATATAAGAAATTTTGTAGATTCAAAATTTTACTCATTCAGTTTTTCACAGTAGCGTTATTGGTCATATTTTTGCTTGCGTATGCGAAGTGCAAGTTCGCCTCTGTATTAATGTGTGATTTAGCGATTAATGAGGTTTTTCTAGCTTAACGTAAGTATCACCTCCCGCTTTTGCTAAAATGTTTCTCCTTTTTAAAGAGCTGATGAACGTAGTGTATAGGTCATGATGATTTTTTCAGGAAAGTCTTAAATTTTGATTAAAGAATTTTTCTTAAACTCCACTATCGAACAGCAAAAGTGTTACGGTCATGTAGTAATAAACAATTTGAAATAATAATCTAGGTCCTGTTTCGTTTTTTAAAAGGAAAATGACTTGCAATTTATTAACACTACTTTTATATTTCGATTTGATTGTTTACGGTCTCCTGTAACAAAAGTGCAAATGGTGCAAAAAAAATCTTCTTTTCTCGAAACTTAAATACTTTAAATAAATTTCTGTAATAATTGAAAGGCAATAAATGGACTCAAATTCCCAGTGAAATGAAAAAATTGGCATTGACCCATTTATTCTATGAAAGAAAGACCAATCTTAAAACTTTGTGGGAAATTGAAGCGGTTGAACGTTATGTTCCTTTTTCTTCGATAATCGAAAGGCGTTAACCGTACAATTACCCCTTGTTATATTATGACTTACCGTGTATTGTCCCTCTAACTATTTTGAAAAATGATTTGGCAAAGATCTCGTTGGTATATCATAGAAATCCAATGTACGATCGATGCCGAGTTAACCTTAGCATCGCTTCCACAAAAGTGTAAGCTCATTTTCGTAGAGTTCTAGGCAAAATGGACAAAGGGAAAGTCCAACGAAAAGCCTTAAATTGAGTGGTTTCTAGTTCCTGGAGACCAGATCAGCGTGGGAAGCTGCGTAATTAGGCGAACCTATGTAAAAACGCGATAAAACAAAGCTTTGATAAAGGACCATCTCGCGCATAGTACAAAGGGCATTAGGTACTGTTTTTAAGGAAATCGAGTTTTTTAAAAAAACTTTGGGATGATTTCAAATCAATCTTAGCATTGCAGGATTCTATCCATAACATTATTATTTAGAAGATATTGTTCACCGAAAGATTTAACACAAGCAAGAGCTTATCCGAAATACTTTTCATAATTAGATTCCTTTATTTTGTCCTCAAAGTTAATGTATGAAATATATATATATATATATCTCTAATTTTATCTGCCCTAATTCGATTGTGGTAGGGGATTGTACAGTTGATCCTTTGAAAGTGTTGAAATAACGCAATCATATAGCAAAAGTGCAATTCAGCCTACGTGAATGACTTTTTTTCATTGTATGTCTGAATTTCTAGGTCTTCTTCGAAGAAATAAAACTTACGCTTTTGATTCATTTTTCTCAATTTGAACTTGAATTAATTTATCCAGATAATTTTCAATTTTAAAGAAAGTATTTTATTTTAATGTCTGCTAATTAGGGTAAGTTTACGGAAGAAACATTCAAACATCAATGATTCTTAAGTTTCAAACAGCTCAAGGTCATTTTTCTTTGAAGATCAAACGTCTGAAACTTTTTTATAAATCTTTCTTACGGAATTTTTTTCGGTTTCCGAGAACCTTGACTTATTCCAACTGCCTGTTAGCTATGTTCATGTAATTTTGTTGGGAAAGAAGGGCCCTGTGCCAATTCATTTTCTGTATTGATTTATAAAACTGATGAAATATGTCGGTAAATAGCCCTTTTGTTTCCCTAAGTTGAATAACACTTTGCAAAATATGCGTTGGCTATGTTTTAGTCGAAAGGAAAAAAAATTTAAAAATGAAAATTAAAATTTGTTCTGTTTTATTTTTGCTTAACAAGTAAGACCAAGGAAATATGATGCTGGTGTAAGAATGGCTTATTTAGCATGGTAATCTTAATTATCGATTCAAAAATATAGATAGTTTTTTCTACTTTTCTGGAAGTAAAAAAATCATACATATATACCTAGGGGAGGCGTTTTTAGGTCATCTGAGGCAGTACAACACTTCCGAAGTTCAAGCTCAAAAACAAAATGTCCAACAGTTCAGAAAGTTATCAGTTGGGCATTAATAAGAAGTGTTCAAATACCACTTCTGTTAGGCACATTCATTTTCAGGAAGCTTACTGGACTAGCTGAATCCACTGGAATATTCATATTTACAATTGCGTCCTCGCCTGATCCAATATTTACAAGTTTTTTTGTTTCGAGGCCATTGTCATCGTAGATAGTTCGTATGTTTAACACCGAGTAATCATCGTTGTCACTTGTTCCTTCTTCTGTCCAGGCATTTAACCTTCCACAAAATTTTTTTTCTGAGTTCAGTTGTGAGTCCCCTGGGGAGTATGGACAATTCTGACCATTTACATCTCTTACATTATTTTAAACTGGCCTTCTGCCTTTTGATTTACAGAGTCTTCCCAAGTGTCCTTTGTGTTTACAAATGTTATATAATATTTCTTTTGCTGGACAAACGTTCAAATGTTTTTCGGTAAAAGCATTTCCACATTTCATACAGGTGTTGGATTTTTCTTTTTTGAGATTTGGTTCTTTTTTACAGTAATGAAATTTTTGTACACCCTGCCGCTTTTGTTGTTATTGGCCCTCGTCATGTTCGTTAGTTTGAGATGATTGTAATAACCTTTCTCATCGATAATTGCTTGGTTGAGTGCATCCACAGGATTTAGCGTTTAAGATAAGAGTCTTCGCTGGAGATTGCAATTTCTCATATTGAATATGAATACATCTCTTATCCATTCCTGTTCTGCATTAATTCCTTTTTCGCAAGATCTAGCTAAGTTAGTTAACGCTACCCAATATTGTTCGCAGGAATCTGTCCTTCTGTTTTCAGGTCAATAAATTATGTCGTTTAAACGTTATATTTGCTGGTTTGCGAAATACAGCGTCCAAAAGGTCGAAAAAATTTTTGAAGGAAAATTTTGATGATCTTCACCTTCGGGTGTTTTTGAAAAAACACTCTTTTCCCCTCGGCTCCTAAGGCCAAGTAAAGGATGGATCTTACTTTCTTGTCTGCTTTGTTTCTCCTCGTCCCCCGAATTTTTGTTTCTCCTCTAAGATGCTTTTGTCCTCAGCGTTTTCGTAGACTCGCATTACTTTGTTTCTGGCCTCCCTGGCTTTACTCTGTGGTTCATTTTCTGAATCCTAAACGCTTTCTAAACTAGAGACAGTCGTTTCCGAATCCAATGGCTCTTTCAAGTTATCTATGTTCAAGTTCTCTTTGGCGATGATGGCCAGGTGGAACTGGTCGATCCAACTAGTCCATTGGGTGGATGGTTCTACAGTATGGGTTGGCCAAAAGGCGGCAATTCCCGAAGATTCGAATCAGTTGACTGCGCCATAATAAGAAGTGTTCAATTACCACTGGTTTACTAAAGCTAACTAAGCTGTTTTAAAAGAATA